GGGGACACACACACACACATCGCGCACGGGTGCCTGGTGTGCGTGTTCTGGTGCGGGTGGAAAGGCGGGGTTCGGGTGGGCAGAAGCGTTGGTTAAAGCAGGGAAGTGTCACGGAGCGAGGATGCTCAGCCACGCTGCTTTGCCGGGCCGGGCAGCTCGGCTGTGAAACAAAGGTGTCCCGGGTATTTTCCTCCGGCTGTGCTCAGGTCAGCTGTGAAAGCGCTTTGTTGGGTGTTTTGCTTTTAGATTTTGCTTTCCAGTTTTGGGTTTGGATTTATCTACTTGTCCGTTACAGAATTGCGCTAAGGGATTAAGAGATAAGCAAAGTAAAAATGTCGTAGAGATCTATGCAAGCGGTTTGGTTGTATCGTCCAGAAAGAGTTTGTGCCTTTTATTTATTTATTTATTTATTTTGCCTTGCAGATTAACTTAACTTTAGTTAACTTCTGGTAACTTCTCAGATGGCTTTGTAATGAAGTCAGGGGACTGCCAGTGTCAGTGTTGATGCCCTGTCCCCAGGGCAGCTGTGGCACCAGCCAGTGTCACCTTTCTCATCCCGGGCAGCCAGCAGCGTTAGCCCCTTGGAGCAGATGATGCTGGTGGAGTCCTGGCTGCAGTACCTGTCAGGGGTTGCTGGAGTTGCCGTTTACAGTATATTAAGTATGAAATTTTTGAAATACTGTGGAAATACGTGCTTTTGTTTTCCGCCTGGTGTGTGTGGCTCGGTGGCCAGTGCACGCTGGAGAGCAGCGTCCCACCAGTCCTGGCCCAATAAATAAACTGGTGGTGTCAACATGGGAAGAGTCACGGTGTGAAGAAGAAATTTCCTGTTGCCTTGGCACAGCATTGTCTGGAAAATATTTGAGTCTCCATGATAGCTTTCTCCTACAATTTTGCTCTGTTCTGAATTAAATGGTTCTATACCAAGTTTTTATCCTGAAGTTAATTAATGAAGAATAAGTTGATTGTTATATTAGTTTGCTGGTAGGTTACAACAGCTCGTTTTAATTGTGTGTTTAGAATCTATTTCTTGGGCAGCTTTCCTCAGAGCTGAGGTGTCTCTGTGCACAAAAAGTATTAAACTCGTGTTTGGTTTATTAATTAGTTAGAACAGAAGCTGAGCAGAAGTAAGGAGATCAAGAACTCCTTGATTTGAAGGACTCTGGTTTGCCTTGGTAACATGGAAATATTTTGAATCTTGTTTTTAGCCTGAAAAGCCATAAGGAGCTTTGAAAAGTTAATGGTTCCAGGCGAAAGAAATGAGAAGTAAATGCAAACTCTGTCTTTTTTTTTCTTTCGTCTTTTTTCTTTCTTTCTTTCCTAGCAAAATCAAGTAGGAAACTTACTTTCCTATATTTAGCAAACGATGTCATCCAGAACAGTAAGAGGAAAGGTCCCGAATTTACCAGGGAATTTGAATCTGTTCTTGTGGATGCATTTTCTCATGTTGCCAGGTACGTTGCTGCATTTCTTCAGCTTTTCCCTCTAGAGATTTGCGTTCTGATTGGAGAAAGTTGAATTCAGTTGGGTTTGGTGGTGGTGGGGATTTTTATTTTGTTGGCTTTTTGTTTTGTTTTTTTTTTTAAGTCTCAGGGATGCTCGCACCCTCTCTCCAGCAGAGACTGGATGCTGACCACTGTGTGGCCAGGAGCTGTTCAGCGTTAATATTTCTCTGTGGGCAACCTTGTTTGTGTGTGAATCGGCCCCTCACAGCTTTAGACATCGGTTCTCTGCAGCCAGCTCCCCTGTACTTCGTTTTAGTTGTTACCCAAAGACGTCGCAGGTCTGTTCATGGGAGGTGACACTGAGCAGTTCCATGTGTTTATATTAAAGCCACATGGTCAGTGGCTCTTCCTCGTTGCCAGAAGAGTTCAATGGAGCTGATCTTTTGGGTCTCTGTGTTCTCGCCAGTCCTCTGGAGTGAGCGTGGTCCCTTTTTGCGTTGCTCGTGATCGTTAGGCTAGAGGAAGGAAGAATTTGGTACGTAAAAGGGAGGAAGTGGTGCAGCTCCCATCCTATCAAAAATGCGCTGGCATTTTGTTAAGATTTTCTCTAAATAGCACAATCGTTCCTGTTATCTCAGCTAAGCAACTTCAGTGTTGGGTGTGTTTAGTGGTGTGCTGTCTGGATGCTGGCTGACTTCATTGCGCTCTATGAGGGCATTAAAGTGCCTAATGATCCAACCAACCTGCTTTTTAATTGGGATGTTACTGACTGAAACAACTGCTTAAAGTTAACGCTCCGAATTGTAAACATGTCAGCTGGGGGATATTTTATAACTCATCTTGTGAATTCCAAATGATGGCAAGTTTCTTGCTACAAAACTTTTCCGGCCCTTACTTTGGGGTGGGAATGTGGGGCTCTTTCAGGCGATCTTTGGTTCCAATAAAAGGGGAAAATTTGCCACCAATGTGTTTTGCGCAGTTTGTCTCGGTATGAGAGCGCTTCTCTCCCAGTGTGCAGATCCTGCAGTGGGGGCAGCTGCTGGTTTGGAAGATGCTTTCTTGAAACATCAGGAGTGTTTTTCAGGTGAGCTGTAATTATTTTCTAATCTTTGAACAGAGAAGCAGATGAGGGCTGCAAAAAGCCCTTGGAACGATTGCTTAACATCTGGCAGGAGAGGAGCGTGTATGGCAGCGAGTTCATACAGCAGCTGAAGCTGTCCATGGAGGACTCCAACAGCCCCCAAACTAAAGGTAAATGCGAATCACTGCTGTTGTGTGCTTTGGTTTGGTGGTTGGTACCCGTTTCACTGAAAGTACTGCGAGCGTGGCGCTCTGGGCTCCGGTAGCTGCGTCGTCGGCAGAGCTGGTCCTGGAGATCCTTCAGGGCTGTCTTGAGAGGTCTCTGGGCTGCCTCAAACCCGCGGTGACGGTTTGTGAGCGTGTTGCCGTCTGACTTGGGGCTGGCAGTGAGCTTGGCTGAAGGGAAGGTCTGCGGTGCTGATGCAGACAGAGCGCTCCAGGGCTGCCTCTGGGGTGAAGACCAGAAGGGTGTGGGGAACTGTTGCATCCCCCTTGAGAGTTAAAATTGTCCCATTCTACCTCTCTGAGAGCGGTCAGCCGGGTTACGGTAGTGGTTTGTTCAATATTATTAGTGCTTTCATTCTCACATGGATTGTTTTATTTTGCATAGTTACTACATTTTATTATGATTCAGCAAGGACTTTTTAATAACTGAAGGCTGGAATATATGCCCAGAAGCTTGTTTCATCTCTCTTATGCCGGCTGATGTCATTTGGGGAAAACAATAACTGCGTCATTTAGCATCGTTAGATGGTGGTTATAACCTTAGTACTGCATGGGACAGATGTGAGAAACTGAGTATAAGCTGCTTGCATTTGCTGTGCTTGATACTGCTTTGGCAGAAACTGCCTCCTCTTCTAGAGCATCTGAAAGTATTTCACTGGTGGTGCCATAATGAAGAGGGGAGCTGTGGGATGCCTGACCTGTGGACGGTGAGGGTCGTTAAAAATCAAGAGTGTTCTGGTTGAGGGATTATGTGTCCACTTCACAGCTGAAGGAAGTGTCACTGTCTTCAAATTAGCTGATATCACACTGCTGCTTTGGCCAAACTTTGCTCTGCTCCCCGCAGAGGTGTGGTACGTCGTGACGGAGTTGGCTTAGTCATTAGTGAAGTGCTCTCATGCCGCTCACAGGTGGTGAAAACAGGCAAGAGATGGGTACTGGAGCTGGTAATTAATTAACACAAAGACATGAGCACTGATGTGACACGTGCATGTGAAGACGTAGATCTTTGGCTGTAGTTCCCTGGGGTTTTTTTCACATGCTTCCTCAGGCAAAGCCGCGGGATGGGTGCTTTGGCAGCTCACATCAGAGGCTGTCCAACTTACTGTAATTTAAGTGGGACATTCAGAAGGTGTTGCCGTGTTTTCCCCAAATGCTGGGACCATCTGACCTGACCAAAGGGGTTGTCCCTTCCATGTCAGGACAGAGGAACCTCCGCTCCCAGTGGCGGAAGGTGACGGTCTCCGCCTCAAATAGCTGGCGCTGGGGTTCCCCTGTTGTCTGGGTGTGACGCATGAGACGCCTGTTTGTCATGAAAGGACAGAATTTACATGCCTGAGTTCTGCTGAACGGCTTAACTGAGAGTGTGAAACTGTTAATTGAAGGTGTGTGGACGGGAGTTTTGTGAGTGTTTAACTGTTGATCTGAACAAACGATGCTGTGCCCAGGAAACAGCTGTGAGTTCCTGAAAATCGGCCACCAACTGCTGCTCCGTGTGGCCTCCCTTTGGCTGGTGGTATCAGTCAGTCCTGCTGCTGTTATCTTCTCGACTTAAAAATGTTTGTACAAAATCAAAGCCTTCCTAAGTGTAACAGACCTTTGTCTGCGGGAAACGGAATGAAGAAATACAAACATTGTGAGAACTGCTGTGTGCACATCTTCACTTGGCGAGAAACTTCGTTTCTGTCTGGGTAATTGGAGATATTAATGTAGTAGCTTTTATCTGAGAGAACAGTTGGGGCTGTTTCGCGAGCGTGAATATTGCTGCCTTGTCAATTCACTGTAAAAAAAGAAATTGAGATTTTTAAACTAAGAGAAAAAGAAATTTTAAAAACTCAGCAGGTTTCTCCCGAGTTTTTCTCCTTGTTTTGACTGGCTTTTTTTCAAATTAGCTTCTCAATGGTAAGAGCTAGTTTCACATGGGATTTTAATAGATTTCTAAGATAAATTGGTGTTTGTCCAGTTGCTGGTGGGTGACTATCTGTGTTGCAGAAGGCATTGTTATAGTTACCCGATTCTGTTTTCAAACAGGTGAACGTAAGCAAGATGGACAATAATGTGTCGTGTTTTACAGATAGAACATTTACCATAAATGTGGAAATGACGGCAAACCGCTGCTCCAACACCGTTCTGCCCTCTTGGGTTTGTGTGCACCCAAGGCAGAGGCAGCTGAGAACCGGGCAGCGTTGGTGCCCGTAGGTTGGTGCAAGGCTGTGCCGTTAGAACCGGGTTCGGAAGCTCCGTAAGAGTACGTGGTGCTGTGATAGTCAGTATGTGGTGGCTCTCTGCGGCTTTTCCTTACGGCAGTGCCGTAAGTTCCTGGGCTGGTAGGTGCTGCTTTCTGAAGAGGGTGGCTCCGCTTGGGTTGCGGAGCGCCATGTAGAGCTGTGAGACCTGCCCAAATAAAGCCGAGTCCTGTGTCGGTGAGGAAAGATGTCTTTAAAGCTCCTCGGTGCCTCTTTCGGTGGTGCAGCTTATTTCTTGTTTCGTTAGCAGCGAGGCCTTGGGGGAACGTGGAGCGACTCAGCTGGGGGCACGTGCAAAGGTGCTGCTGTGGAACAGAGTTGGTTGCACAAACGACGAAGCTTCCCCTTCAGAGAGGCGGAGGGGGAGGAGTACCGGCCCTTGCTAGCCGTTGTGCTCCCAGGGTTTGACTTCCTCGGTGGTGCAGCTTGCTGCCGTGGTGCAGTCTTTTGGGTTCCTTAAGGAAATACGTATATACATGGGAATGAGCTTTTGAATAGCGATATCTTACCCTGAACACATTTAGAGTTAAAACATTAAGCTTGCATTTGCTTTCTCATTAATCTCATTTTTATTAGAATGTTTCTTTTTACAAGCAATAGGGAAGAGAAGAACCACCCATCTATCTTAAAGCCTGGGAAGACCAGGTCTGTAGAGGTTTGATGCAAAATCCTTCAGGTGATGTAACCTACATAGCTGACACGTTTTCTGTTCATTGTCTTTGTAATAAGCAGTTGAGGAAGTCCTTGAATGTGCTCTGGTGTAGGAGTGTCACTGTAACACGGAACTGAACTGCTCTGTTGTGGTTTTGTTGCACATTCTGGCACAGGGAACCAGACACAAATTAAAATGTGGAGAAAAACATCAGTGAGGGGAGCAGGCAGGGATGCTTCCAATAATAACTGAAATACAGGCACCTGGGGACAGGAGTAGGTGTAATTTTGGAGCAGATTAACTCCAGTTTTGCTTGACCTAGGAGAGGCTACCAACAAATGTGTGTTGTAATGAGAACTTCAACAATCGTGAGTAATCTACCCCAAAAGAAAGGAGGGGTTAGAACAGTTGGAGGAGACACAGGACCATTAGGTTTCTCTGGTTTTGTTCTTTTGTGTCTCCTGGTGTTCTGTGAAGGTCTTCTGTTTCCTTTAGGACAGCTGGCTGGTGGTGGTGGTTGTGTTCAGCGCTTTGTCCTAAATCACTTTCCAAAAGTGTCTTTCACAGAAGTTCACTTGGGTCTTGCACAAGTTGCTAAACCCCTGGTGCATGGAACCTGAAGCCTATAAAAGTTTAGTTTTAGTTACGGTTTTGGGAGGCTTATTTTTGTTTTGCTGACTGAGGATGGTAGCCCTGCCAACACACAGAAAAACAAATTCAGCTGGTCTGCCTTTCAAGTCAAAGTTACCTATAGAACCTCAGAAGCAGAAACCCCTGTTTTACAGGTTTGCCTGTCCTCTGGAACTCCAGGAGCTGTTCAGTGGCGTTTCCTTGCGTGTTGCCCTGTAGACAGAAGTTTCTGCTCAGGCAACTCGTTGTATAACTGTGTGCTTAACTGTCAGAAAAGGCACATGGTGTAGCTGTGCTGAGACTGATAAGTCCTCAAGTGAGTTAAGGACTCTGTATTTGAAAAAAAAACCAAAACAATCCGAACCCTTTGCATAGTTCTCTTGAGTGAAAGGCGTTACCTGCACGGGGAGTTCCTCCCGTGTGTCGTGGCTGCTGCTTGAATGAGGAGATGAAATAACCAAGTCCTCAGGAGAGAAAATAATAACTTTATAGTGCCTTGAGATTAAAAAAAAAAAACAAAACCCAAACCATATAAACACACTGGTTTTTATCAGAGCAGACTTTTAAACTCCTGGTCATCCTTCTGCATGTGTGTATACAGATTCCCCAGCTGGTTTCTCTTTACTGTGTATATGAGCCTGGGGTCAGAAAAGCCTGTTTACCTCGCAGGAGATGAGAAGGAAAAGGGAGCATCCTGCATGGGAAGATCTCCTGTGTTGCCAGCTTACAGGAAAGACTCCTGCTTTGTCACTAAGGTCTTTGACATTGTAAGGTTCCTCAGGCCACTGGAGATGGTTTGAAGACCGAGAAGCTGGTGGAGAAATACCTTTACAAGTGTCCCTGGACACTGCAAGAGCAAGTTAACAACAACCTGGAGTTTTGCTGCAAAGCTGCTGTGACAGCAATTGTCAGTCATTTCGGAGAAACAAAGTGCTTTGCTCTTTGAAGGCTTTTAGGGAGTAGTTCTATTTCTGAGCTGTGGGAAAAAACCCAACAAAGCAGGAAAGCTGACTTCATCTCTAGTAGTGGCTTCTCTATCTTGTTTATGTCCATGTCAGAAATGGGCTCTTGATTTTCCTGGAGGAAGCTGTCCATATTCTACAAGGACTTCTTGATTGTTTCAGAAGTTGTGTGTTACATACCGTTGTTGAGTTCTGATCAGTTTTAGGTGCTTTTAGTGCTTGCTTTTCTCTTCTCTTGTTCGATTTGGCAGGCTTTTTCAGAAGTGTAGACTGCAATGGTTAAATCACTTCTGGACAGCAGACTTTGACAGCTCCCCGGGCAGGGTGTGTTATGGTTTGGGCCTTGGTTCCTGTTCTCGTGCAGGGGTCCTTTTCCACCATACACTCTGGAGTTTGAAAAGAAGTGTGGGGGTTTATTTCTGTTTTGATGAAATGGAGATGGTGTGTCTGGGATTCTTCAGTGAGGTCTTGTGCTGCCCCTGTTTACCAGTGTCAAGGAAAAAGGCGAACAGTCCACGTGTATGTCATGCTGCTCGTGCCCAAAATGCTCCTTCAAAGCCGGCTGCTTTGTCTGTGCTCCTTTTTCTGCTGGCTGCTTGGTCCCGTCAGCTGCCGCTTGTCTGCTCGGGCGAACCTGCTTCGGCGGGGGGTTGGACGAGATGGTCTCCAGAGGTCCCTTCCAGCGCCGGCTGCTCTGTGATGCTCAGTGGCCTCTCCCAGGCAGAGAGAGGGCTGCAGAGTTCACGCACTCGCCCTCTTTGGGCTGTTTCCAGTCAAACACGCTTGGTCTTGTTCAGGGGGAAAGTTCAGTGGGTTCAGAGTCCTCCACGTTGGGGTATGAGCAAGCGCCACGCTGTGTCTTGTGGTGGAGCAGTTGGCAGCCCAGCAGGAACAGCTCTTCAGCAGTTTGAATCCCGGTTCTCATTTTTGGTTTCACTTGTGTGCGCGCTGGGCTTGCCCATTCTTCCATTGCTTGTCTTGTGGTTATCCTTTGTTGGTTAATTACCTCATGATAAGTATACACAGTTGATCAATCCTGATGGCACCTGGTGTTTGGCTGTGTCACTTTACATGCTCTTTGTGGCCGTTTCGTGGGCTGCACATGTCCTGTTCAGCTCAGCCTGTGTCCTTTGCAGACCTCAGTGGACAGCAGCTGTTCTTCTGGGTGATCTGGCATCTTACCTGCTTGTCATAGAGATTCAGGCACTCTCTTATAGCGGTTGTATACATACAGTACTTAGACTGCACCTTTTTCTAGCTTAGATAGCTTTGCTCTAGCGTACATCACAAGTTCATTTCGTTTAGGATAACTGTTTCCTGTGCTTCTTTGCCTCCCATTGCGTACATCTGCTCTCTGACAGAGGTGTGTTTGTGAGTACCTCACAAAGGTTGTTCGGCTTTTTCCCCACACGAGCAGGGTGTATGGCACCTCTGACTTTTTCTCCATTAAAATAGAGTTTTTTCAGACATGTGTCCCACCTGATAAGGCAGGCAAGATTCTGCATGTAAGGACAGACTTTTCTGTTTGCTTCCTCATGAGGGCTGGGCAGACTGGTTTTGGTTGGGCAGAATGATCTTGGGCTTTCCTGTGAATTGGAGTATACGCAAACTCGTTGAACTCCATGATTATCTCTGCAAGACTTGATTCCATTGAAGCAATGTTCTCAAGGCTTTGTCCAAAGCTTTCTCTGTCTTGGCTCTTACTAATTTTGGTGGTAAGAATGATCTGGTTTCTTCTGAAGGTTCTGGAACTGGATCAAAGGCTGCATTAAGAGTCCTGACTCATTAAATAACCTGTGTCTTCCTTTTCAAGCTGAGGTATGGTAAGCTAAGGTTTCTTTAACCAGCACTGTCTTGCTTTACAAAATCCTTATTTCTGAAGGGTTACAGGTACCTGCTTGGAGATCGGTTTGTGCTGTGCCCATTGGTGCTGTTGCTGTCACATCTTAAGAGTTTTAGTGTCACAGAGCTGTCCTGAAGTCTCGATTTTGATGGGAGAGTGGGAGGTTGAATAGCCAGCAGTTTAGTTGATTGTGGGACCACAGTGAGCATATATTTGGTGCAAAAAGATGACCTGAAATTCTTCTGTCCATGTGTATGTTGGCATCAGTGCTTCATTTCTGCTAGTAGACGTCCTCACCTGCATGCATGGTGTAACCAGAGGGTCTGAGCAGGGCTGAAGACCTGCCATTGTTGACCAAGAGGACGTTTACTTGCCTTTGCTGCGTCCGCTGCAGGAGGCACAAACACGTGTACAGTGCACACTGCTGGAATGGATGGGGACTGTATCATGTATGTGCTTGGGCAGCAGTACAGACGTGGGCAAAACGAGCCTTTTATTGCTGGTTTGCATTTGTGTGTTTGGAATACGGTGCCAGCGTTAGAGTCCGGCGGCGGTCGTCCTTCCCTTTAGAGAGCTTACACGTCAGAGCGGCTGGTGCAGTTGTTCTGAAGTAAAGGTGGGCAGATCTGGCATCCAAATGAGTTGCTTATGTGTGTCTTCAGTTGCAGAGGAGAAGAAGTCTTTAAAGCGGACTTTTCAGCAAATACAAGAGGAGGAAGATGACGATTACCCTGGGAGCTACTCACCGCAAGACCCTAGTGCTGGGCCACTGCTGGTACGTGGGACGGGCTGAGCGTGGGAGAAGTTCTGGAAGCCACAAGGTGGAGCTGCCAACAAGTGAAATGCTGTTAATGGAGAAGCGCACTTGGGGGTTGAGCTGCCCATGCGGAAGGGGACGGGTTCGTTTTTCGTGGTGAGGTAGCGTGCCACTTCTGAGGATCTCGGGTAGCCCAAACCACGGTCTGAGCAGCACTACTGGTAAGAATCTTGTAGGACTGCTGGAAGAACAGACCCCATTTGAAATTCTTTCAAAGATCAGTGTCTCTCAAACCCCAAGTTGTGACACAGTTAAAACTTAATTATTTTTTTTTGTAGGACCTCTCTTTCCATGAGCTAATAAAAAACTAAACCTTTGATAGATCTGTGTGGAGTTGTTTAGGAAAACCGGTTCTGAAGACTTTATTTTAAGGTTGACACGTTAGTGGTGAGGAAATAGCAGG